CCAGGCCCCCAGCCCACCCTGGGTTCCCGCTCTGTGGCCTCATTTGGATGTAGCTGGCAACTTGCTTCGCTGTCCTCCTCCGGGGATTCCATCCTTGTTTGTCGCAATAAAGGCTTCCAAACTGTCTTTGCAGCACCGTCTCCCTTCCTGAAAGTCAGACCATGCCTTCCCACTGGGGCCTCAGAATAAAACCCTGATAATACAACACTCCCATTCCAGAGATGGGAACACTGAATCTCAGCAGGGGCAGGACCGGGCTGTTCAGCTGCTGACACCATCGATATGCCGGACCGGGTAATTCTCTGACTTGTGGCTGTCCTGGGCACTGCAGGACAGTTAGCAGCACCTCCGGTCTCCACCCATTAGAAACCAGGAACACACACTCTACCATCCCATGCTGGTGACTGTCAAAACTGGCATGGGGAGGCCCTGGGGTAGAGTACCAGTTAGGCTATAAACTCAGACCTGGAGATGCCAAACAACAGAGGCAGAAACTAAATAGCAGGTTCTTTTCCTCCTGGTACAGTTCCCCAGGGAGGCTGTTCAGGGTTGGTTTCACAGTGTTGTTCTCAGACCGTGTTCAGGCACCCATTCGCCATGCCTGGGATGTCACCCTGGTTGGCACCATCTGAGATGGAGCATCTGAGATGGAGCATCTAAGATGGAGCATTTGAGATGGAGCAGCAGTGTGGTCTGTGGAAGGCTCTGTTCTCCCCTTAAGTGAAAATCCCAGAGGGCTCTCTTCTTATATCCCATATGACCACTCCTAGCTGGAAGGGAGGCTGGGTCCTAGCTTTAGCTGGATGGCCACGTACCCCTTTGACATCGCTCCTCCTGCTAAGAAGTTACAATTCTGTTTCAGTGGGAGTCGCCAGAGGCCTCAGAATCAAAGACTGAGATTTGGAGCCGATCTGCGGACCCCAGATCAGGGCTCTTTCTTGCATGTACTGCATCTTGGGAGCCAACAAGGGGGCAAGAAACCTTCTCTGAACTTGGGGGTTAGGGCTGTTCAACCTTCAGGGGGGGTGGGGAGCAAATCCAGAATTGCTCAAGCTGTTTAGAGAGGCAGGGCTAGGGAGCCACAGGAAAGATGATGTCTCAGAGACTACCTTTTGGGAAGGTAGCACCTCTTGCTCCATCCTAGGCCCACCCCAGTTGTTGGATTCTCTAAGCCCTAAGCTCACCCCTTGGTGGAGTGCTGGAGAAATGTCCACTCCTTTCTCATACCAGGGGGATGCTGGACAGGAATCCATCCCCCTTCACTCTCACCCAGGAAAGGAGTCTTGGTGGCAGAATGGTTCAGTATTGGGTTGCTAACAGCCAGGTCTGCAGTTCCAAACCACCAGCTGCTCCTTGGGCGAGAGATGGGGCTTTCTACTCCTTGAGTTACAGTCCTAGGAACTCAAAGAGACAGTTCTATGCTCTGAGTTGGCATCAACTAGATGTCACTGAGTTATTTTAAATTACTATTAGTATTTTCTTTACCACCCAGGACTCTTCCAGGCACCCGTGACGGGAACTAAACTGGCAACCAGAGGCCTTCCAGTCGATTCTAAGTCGTAGCGACCCTCAGGGCGGAGCAGAACTGCACCATCTATAGGGTTTCCAAGGCTGCGATTAGAAGCTGGTTGCCACCCCTTTCTACCGCGGGGGAGTTGCAACCCCACCATTCCGGTCGGCAGTGGGTGCTTCATCCAGAGTCGGGGACAGCGGACATAAAAGGGTTCAGGTTCCGCACTCAGGTGGGGCGGACACCCTTTCTCCGTCCTGCTTCCCTTTGCGTGGGCTGCTTTTTCAGGCCACCGCCCACAAGTGACCCTAAAGCGGCCAGCAGTCTACCCTCGCAGCCTGAGAAGATCTTGGCCAGTGCTAACGCTAAGCTCAGGGACTGGACCCCCATTGGCCCGCAAGGAGCGGGAGCTCAGGAGATGGGATACTCTGATTGGCTCGGCAGTTCTTGGGTCTCCCAGGGACTGAGTCTGCTCTAGGTCACGTGGGCTGAGAGCTCTCTTAGTGGGGGTTTGAAAGCAGGGCGTTATTGGGAAGTGACGCACCCCGAGGTTACTTACTCCCCAGGGGATTTGGGACGAGAACCCCTAGTGAAGGGGAGGGTGGACAAGATCCCAGAGAATGTGGTAAGGGGGTGAGCTGGGACTCTGGGTGAAGGCTTGGGGAACGGGATGTGGCAAAGGTGGTGGGTGAGTGAGTGAGGTTCTCAAGGCCATTAGGGGATCGGGGTGCCATTTACATCACCCTGTGCAAGAAGCGGGGACAATATCCTCACTGGGTTCACTGTCGTGTCCCCTCCTATATTCCCCACCCCCACCCCAACACACACAGGGTCTCATTGCCATCGTGTTATAGCAACCCTACTGGACCGGGTAGAACTGATCCAATGAGTTTTCAAGACTGTAACTTTTTATGGGAGGAGAAAGCCTCATCTTTCTCCTTCAGGAGGAGCTGGTGGTTTTGAACTGCTGACCTCGTGGTTAGCAGCCCAAAGTGTAACCACTGTGCCACCAAGGCTCCAGTGTAAGTCCAAACATATTGCTACTAGGGTTCCAGTCCATATGTGCATGGGCTTATCCTAAATAAGACATGTTTGAAATTGTCTGTTTCTGTTACTTGTCATTTGTTGCAGACAAATTCTCTGAGTAACATGTATCTTAGTCCCCTTCGGATGGATGCCTTCAAAGACAAGGTCCAACCAAAACGGTGGTGTGTTAGTCTGGGTTGACCAGAGAAAAACAAATCCAGAGACACTTATGTGCGTAAGACAGAGTTTTATATCCAAGAGTAATTGTATATTTAGAAAACCTCCCGGACCAGTCCAGATCAAGTCCATAGGTTTGATATTAGCCCATAAATTCTTCTACAGACTCACGCAGCACATACAACGATGCCGAGAGCAGGAAGTTCACAGGCCGGTGGGTGCAAAGTCTTGGGGAAGCAGTGGCAGTGGAAGCATCTCAGCGCTGGCGGGGCTCTCCATGTGGCTCCTCCAGCTCCAGGACTCTGGCTGCCGTCAGCATGGCTCCATGTGGCTTGTCAAGAGAATGTGAAGCAGAGAGGAGTTCCCAGAATCCTCAGGAGAAGGCCGTGTTCACACAGAGGCATCATGGGCTCTGACCTGATTGACAGACTAGACTTCACCCCTTCGCCCAAGTTGACAGGAGATGATGTGACCGCCACTGTGACCATGACAGGATCTGCCAGTTCACTGCAGAGAGGTCAGTTCAAGGGTTAGAGAGAAGTGCTAAGAAAACGCAAAGCTGCATTGGTGAGGGAAAGGCTAGGAAAGTTGCACCAAAGAGCTTTCCCCCATCAGAATCATGCATCTGGGCCCTCTGTGAGGGAGCAGGGCTGTCTCAGGAGATTGTGTTAGGAAACCTTACCCCAGGCATCCTACTGCCCCGATTTTTCCCCTTTACAAAGCTTTTTGTTCCTCAAACTCAAAGAATATTTCAAAGGAACACGATTTCAGTCCCTTGAAGAGGCCCTTTGACATGGTATAAGTTGGAGAGCAGAGAAATCCCTGGGAAAGGGTAAAAAAACCGCCAAAGTTACTGCCATCAAGTGGATTCCAACTTCCAGTGACTCTCTAGGGCTGCGTAGAACTGCCCCTGTGGGTTTCCAAGACTGTATCTCTTTACAGGAGTAGGAAGCCTCATCTCTCTCCCACAGAGAAGCTAGCGGATTTGAACTGCTGACCTCCTGGTTAACAGCCTGATGAGTAACCACTTTGCCACCAGGCATCCCGTGGGGGAGGGGTTAGAGCTATAGCAGCACCCCTCTCAGAATGATGTAGACCTGGATGGAGGATATGCTGAGAAACAAGAGCTTCGGATTTGGCTAGTTTTGTTTCCTAAAGGTTTCTCTGAGTTCGGAGCCCTCTCTGGGCCTGCCTTGGGGTTCCAGCCTCCCTGACGGAAGGCGTGAACACCTCCCTTCAGGCACGCTGAGGCTCTGTATTTCTCAACTTCCTTTTCTGGTGTCCTTTTATTCCCTTTTAAAAATAGAAGTGTGGAGAGGGAAGAGGCATTCATGCTAGGCTACGTGAGTGAGGGGGAGGTGAGGGCTGGGAGGCCTGGGTTGGCGATCGCTGCTGCCCTGTTCATCAGAAAGCTGCTTCCAGAGGCCGAGCCCATCAGGGTGACCAGCAGAAGTCACGTGCATTCATTCAGACCGCTGGTTGCACGAGACAAAAGCTCAATTTCACTGGCTTAGGCAAGAAGGGAAATTTATGATGTGAAGTCTCTGGCCCTTTGGGATAGAGATGTGGTCTGGGCCCAGGACAACTAAAATCAGGCATGCAGACGACATCTTTCTTGCTATTAAAATTAGTTTAATTTCTGCCTCTGTGTACTCACTTTGTTCCCCCACCCCCACCCCCCTGCATGGAAATCATGGCTGCAGCCAACCTCTGGCAAGTTGGGTAGCTCCCAGCTCCAGCTGTTGGAGAGAGAGAGGTACCTGTCCCTCTCTGTGGCTTTAAGCCCAAATGGCTCAGGGGAGAGATTCATTGGGTTGACTAGAGGAACAAATCTAGCAACACTCATATATATGTAAGAGAGAGCTTTATATTAAGAAGGAATTGTATATCAAGAGACTTTCCCAGCCCAGTCCAACTCAAGTCCGTAAGTCTGATACCAATCCATAAATCCCTCTTCTGACTCACATAGCCACATGACATGCAAGGATGCAGAATGCAGGAATATCCAAGGCCGGTGGGTGCAAAGTCTTGCAGCTTCAATTGGGGGGTGGGGGGCCGCATCACAGGGCTGGCAGCAACCAGGGTGGCCAGCAGGAAGGTGAAGGCAGAGAGGGAGGGGGAGGTTCCCAGGAGTCTCCTTATGAGAAAG